TGAGTCTCATCATGACATCCCCAGATGGTGCACATCTCACTCATTATGTATGTATATAACCCCCCTCCCACCTGCCAATACCTATTACTTAGTACCCTATGTGTCTCCACTTAGGTGCTACTCAGTTATACCAGTTTGCTGGTGAGTATATGTGGTGCTTGTTTTCCATTCTTGGAAACTTCACTTAATAGTATGGGTTCCAGCTCTAACCAGGAAAATATAAGATGTGCTATGTCACCATTGTTTCTTAGAGCTGAATAGTACTCCATGGTATACAATACCACATTTTATTAATCCATTCTTGGATTGATGGGCACTTGGGCTTTTCCCCACACCTTGCAATTATGAATTGCTGCTACATGCCTGTAGTCCCAGCTACTTGGGAGGCTGAGGCAGTAGGATCACTTGAGCCCAGGAGTTTGAGGTTGCCGTGAGCTAGGCTGACACCACAGCACTCACTCTAGCCTGGGCAACAAAGTAAGACTCTGTTTCAAAAAAAAAAAACCAAAAAAAAAAACCTAGGCTTTATTGAGTTCTATATTGATGGCCACAGACCCCTCATTTAATCCATATGGCACAGGAGTGAGAGCCATGTCACTTCCTCTGGCTTGTTTTCATTTGATATATTAAAAATAATCTTGAGCTATATGCACAGACCTGTAGATTTATGAATTTCATTATCTAGTTTAATCCTTACAACGTGGACAAGTGGCTTAAAAATTCTTACAGAGAAACAGAAATTAAAACTCGTACTAATAATGTAAGCACAAGTGAACAGCTAGAAAATGGCAGAAGTAACCCTTCTCCCAGGCTACCATGTTACCTAAGTTAGCCAGGTGATGAGAGAAAAACAATGGCAGTCTAACCACATATGACAAGACCATGTCAACAGGTTTTGAAATAGTCAAGAAGATGACATAAAATGTGGATTTACACCTAGTGTCATTGCATTAACATAATCCTATATGAATAATGTGTCTTAAAGAGTTAATCCAGTGGTGTTTGAAAGATTAATGACTTCTGAAGAAAATTTCTATTTCTATATTTGTTAAAAATTTTCCTAACAGTCTGTTAGTTTATCTCTATATAAATTAAACATCCACATATTAGGTGTATATGCTGAAAAGTATTTTACTGATAGGAATGCATATCCACTTTGTCAGAGCACAGTGCAGATGAGAACGTGCATTGTTCTTGATGGGCTGGTGAGCATTGTCATGTCACACGGCTCTCACATGGTTGCAGATGGAAGAGCCATCTCAGGAATGTGCGTTATTAGTCACCATGGTAATGGCACAGCTGGGAGGGGATGGGTCGTTAAAAATACATCATCACTATTGAGTTAGAAATTAACTCAGGTCACACATCCTTCTGAGGTCAGCTTATCTTTTGCTTATAGAGAAAGGCAACGCTTAAAATGTAACAGATTTAGGCTGGGTGTGGTGGCTCATGCCTGTAATCCTAGCACTCTGGGCAGATCGCTCAAGGTCAGGAGTTCGAAACCAGCCTGAGCAAGAGTGAGACCCCGTCTCTACTAAAAATAGAAAGAGTTAATTCGACAGCTAAAAATATATAGAAAAAATTAGCTGGGCATGGTGGCGCATGCCTGTAGTCCCAGCTATTCGGGAGGCTGAGGCAGGAGGATTGCTTGAGCCCAGGAGTTTGAGGTTGCTGTGAGCTAGGCTGACACCATGGCACTCTAGCCTAGGCAACACAATGAGACTCTGTCTCAAAAACAAACAAACAAACAAAAAAAACACCATGTAACAGATTTTAAAAAATATGTATCATGGGCATTACATGAGCATATGGGATTGTTCATACATTTGGAAGTAAATGACAAACCTAGGAATTTACTCTTTGCATTTTGTTATTTATTTTGACCTCAAAATAATCCCATAAAGTAGAGATCATCTTCATTGTATGACAAGGAAAGATAAAATCAGAGGGCTTAAGTGATATTTAGTAAATAGAGAGCTAGTGTACAAATTTAGATAATTGGTATTAGCCAATATTTTGCTGTTAGTTTCCAAAGGCAAAGAATACATGTGCATTTTATCAAGTCACCTAATATAGTAAGTCCTCACTTAATGTCATGGATAGGTTCTTGGAAACTGTGACTTTAAGTGAAATGACTTATAATGCAACCAATTTTACCATAGGATAATTGATATAAACAAGAGTTCAATTGATATAAACAAGAAACAGCTTGTTTCTTGTCATAGAAATATCACCAGACTTCTAAATAAAGACCCAAACACTTCTAGTATTAAACATTGAAATACATTTGAGCTATACATACATTTAAGAAAGATGAATAAAAACAAGCTAATTATTGACCTGCTGATTGAAGTTCAGCATCTTGGATGGTCATAGCTCATCCCAGTAGCTCAGGGCACCAGGCAGGACCCAGTCCTGGCCAGGATGCCATCCTGTTGCAGGGCATGCTTGTACATACACCTGCGCTCACACTGGGACAACTTAGACTCTTCATGTGCAGAGCTTTGGGATGTGGGAGAAAACTGGACCACTTGGAGAAAACCCTCAGAGATATGGGGAGAACATGGCAACTCCACACAAACAGCAGCCCTGGCCAGAATCGATTTTTTTTTTTTCTTATCGATGTTATAACGAAAGGCTATTGAATGCAATGACATTATTTAAAGACCTACTGTAACTCAGAGATATTCACAATTTCCAGACATGAAAGGCTGTGCAACAGTGGACTCTATATACTGGGAGGAAAAGCAAAATGTTCACTCTGAGGTCTGGGGCTGGAATCTTTATTTCATCTATCTGCATTAGGTGACGAAAGGCAAGCCAATTGTGATTGTGCTTATTGACGTTGTATCATCTTATGTCATTTCTCAAATGACAGTTCTGCATTTTTGTATGAGCAAGAAGTCTCTCCACGGAGCTTTGCCAACTGTTTTTCTCAAGGTGTTCGGCAGAGCATCAGATATTGACCTAAAATATGATAAATGTGCATCTCTCTCTGTTAACAGGACCATTGCCAACTATTTGGTGTGGAGAATGGTTTATTCCAGAATTCCGAACCTTAGCAGGCGCTTTCAGTATAGGTGGCTGGAATTCTCACGGGTAAGTTTAAGAAGGTTGCAATGTTACATCACTGAATAACTTTGCATGCTGGAATAGTCCATTAACTGATCCAGTAAAAATCATCTCTAGGGATTGGATGGGGGAGAGACAGTTGCAGCCCAAACCCTGCTTAACTTTTTGCTTTATTTTTTTTTATTTAGGTATAACTTATAAACAGTAAAGTACACTCAAGCACTACTTTGATGGGGCTATATAAATATATTTAGAGCAATACTTGAGGCCATCACATTGTTTTCACTCCCTGTTATCAACGTATTCCCATTTTTAACTGGGCCATTGTAATTATAGTTTGAACATTTCTTAGTGACATATTTGTAACTTTTATTTTCAGTATTCTGAATATTCAAAATGTGCATGATATATGTAGTATATGCTAAAGTTTCATTTTTAATTTGGGATAGAGTTTTATCTTTAATTTTACCTAGATCTTCGATCTTTGAATCTCCCCTAATTCGGCTAGGTCCAAAAGCCTCCAATTTAGTCCCCTCTGCGGCCTCACTCAATCGCCTGGGATGCTTTTCTTCTCCCCCCACTCATCTGGCTCTTTAATTTGTGCTTCTCTTCCACCTTTGCTCGCTTCCAAACTTGCACGGGTGTTATTCTCCTCTTCGTTTCTGAGGCTTGTGTCTGAGTAATTCTCACCACTAGAGGACTTAAGGATTTTGTGACTTTAAAAAAATATTTTAGACCAGGCATGGTGGCTCATGCCTGTAATCCTAGCACTCTGGGAGGCCAAGGCGGGAGGATCGCTCAAGGTCAGGAGTTTGAAACCAGCCTGAGCAAGAGTGAGATCCCATCTCTACTAAAAAAATAGAAAGAAATTAATTGGCCAACTAATATATATAGAAAAAATTAGCCGGGCACGGTGGTGCATGCCTGTAGTCCCAGCTACTTGGGAGGCTGAGGCAGGAGGATCACTTGAGCCCAGGAGTTCGAGGTTGCTGTGAGCTAGGCTGATGCCACGGCACTCTAGCCCGGGCAACAGAGTGAGACTTTGTCTCAAAAAAAAAAAAAAATGTTTTAGGTTTATTTTTCCATCAACTTCAAGTTAAGTGAATGGCAAATCTTATAAGCTATGATTTCATTTAACAATTTTTGTTATTAGAACATTTTTATTATTTTTGTTATTAGAACAACTAGTAAAGTACAGGAATTCTGAATGGGCTATTACTCTTGAAGAGTAGTGCAATTATTTGGGTACATTTTGAACCTTTAAAGTCACTAGAATATAATGCCACTTTATAGAGAACAACATAAACCAACTATATTTATTCAGATCATATCAAAGGGTTAAGATACAAAACAAGTAGATTTTTTTGTGTGTGCGAGTGTATTTTTAACTCCTGTGGATCACATAAAAGATGAGACCCAGCTGCTTCCCACCCCCACTGTGAGGAGAATGAGAGAGAGAGAGGTGTAAGAAATATTGTGTGAAAATTTGAGGTTAGGTATGAGGGGATGTTTTTTGGGCATGAAGTGCTAAATATAATATCGAATTGCCAGAGAAGGTTGTAGAATCTCTTTCTCTAGAGCTTTAAAAAAAAATAGATTTATCCCTTACCTCTGAGAGGGGTTGTGTTACCAGAAAGAAGAGGAAGAATAGATGAACTGAAGCCTCAATCCCATTCACCCTGCTCCAACAACCTGGGTCTAACATGGTGCAAGGGGCACTTCCGGCCACCATTCTCAGCGCCTCCCTTCCTCACTGCCTGTCTGCACCCCACCTTCCAAGAGCAACTTAAACTGTATTTATTTCTCTGCTTTCATCCCCAAGAGTAAACTTCTGAGGCTTTCAGTTCCTGCTTTGAAACCTCCTTACTTGTTTGTAAATGTTTTCTTGTAATGGTATAATTGGGACAGATGGGAAAAGCGTTTACATCTTTATTTTACTTGTTTACCAGTGTGTTCTTGGCTATGACACATGTAAATATTCTCCCTGGGTTGCTCATGGTGGACCATGTTCTCCTGGTCTGCCTTGTTGAGTGTACTACCGGGAGCAAGGAAACCTTTATTAGGTAGGAACTTGGTCACCCATTGATTCTAGACATTTATCAGTAGAACTTTACTTCTCAGTAGATATTAAATACTATCTGGACACTTGAACACCATCCTCTCATGTCCCTGAGGAACACAGAGGAGCTATACCATCGTCCAGATCCTTTGTCTAATGGAGAAAATTGGAAGAAAAGGAGAAATACATTATTTTTCACTGTTGAGACATTTTCATGTAGTTTTGTTATCAAAATATGATAAATGTATTTTGATAACAAAACTACATGATACAGTTTGATAACTGGTGACAAGCAGGAATTTTTTTTTTGAGACAGAATCTCACTTTATTGCCTGGGCTAGAGTGAGTGCCGTGGCATCAGCCTAGCTCACAGCAACCTCAAACTCCTGGGCTCAAGCGATCCTCCTGCCTCAGCCTCCCAGGTAGCTGGGACTACAGGCATGCGCCACCATGCCTGGCTAATTTTTTCTATATATTTTTAGTTGTCCAATTAATTTCTTTCTATTTATAGTAGAGATGGGATCTCACTCTTGCTCAGGCTGGTTTCGAACTCCTGACCTCGAGCAATCCACCCGCCTCGGCCTTCCAGAGTGCTAGGATTACAGGTGTGAGCCACCGTGCCGGGCCAAGCATGATTTTTTTATTCATCTGATTTCACCTTTGCCTCTACTGCCTGACACATGTATATGGGTTGGGGTGCGCAATGTTTTCTAGACTGTTTTCTTCAGATATTTTGAATTTTTTTCAGCCATAGGTTTTATTCAAATGAACTTCACTCTGGATCAATGATCTCCCGCAGGTAATCCAGGGGACCACGACTTTGCTGCCTCAATGGGACAAATGTGTAAACTTTATCGAAAGTGCCCTCCCTTACGTTGTTGGGAAAATGTTTGTGGATGTGCACTTCCAGGAAGATAAGAAGGAGATGGTAAGTGGTGCTTCCCAGCTGGTCAAAACCAGTAGTGATCCAGCCAGATCTGAAAAGGGTAAAAGCAGGCAATGTTAGCCTTCCAGGTGGTAGGGGTCTGCAGGTGTCCTCTTCATATTCTTGCAATTTCTCAGTGAACTAGGAAGAAAGGTCATCAAATGAGAGTGAGGATAAGCAAGCAGATAGTGAATAAACTAAGGAAGAATAGTATGGCTGCTTGGAGGCAGGAGCTGGTCCAGGTCTAGGTGAAGTTCAAGGTCATGAATTTAAAGAGAGACTCATCACCATGGCAATATATTCTTCTCCATTTATTTCAGCTGCATTAAAAGAGGGTGTATTTTTTTCTTCTAGCTTTATTGAGGTACATTTAACAAATTATATATATTCAGGGTATACAACATGGTGATTTGATACAGTTGATATACATTGTGAAATCATTGCCACAAATGAACACATCCATCACCACACTTATTTACCATTTTGTGTGTGTGTGTGTGGTGAAGACACTTAAGATCTACTCTCTTAGCAAAGTTAAGTGCACAATACATTATTAGTAACTGTAGTCACCAATGCTGTATGTAAGATCTCTACATCTTATTCATTTTATTATTGAATGTTTGTATCCTTTGACCAACATCTTTTCACTCTTCTTCCTCCAGCCCCTGGCAACTACTCTTCTGCTTTCTGCTTCTATGAGTTCAACTTTTTTACAATTCCACATATAAGTGTGATCACACAGTATTTGTCTTTCTGTGTCTGGATTATTTCACTTAGTATAATGTTCTCTCAGTTTATCCATGTTGTTGCAAAAGGCTGAATAATATTCCATTGTGTGTATATGTGTGTGCATGTGTATATATATACACGCACATTATATTTTCTTTATTCATCTATCAGTGGGACATTTAGGTTGATTCCATACCTTGGCTATTGTCAATATTGCTGTAATGAAAATAGGGGTGCAGATATTTCTTCAAGATATTGATTTTATTTCATTTCGATATATACCCAATAGTGGGATGACTGCATTGCATGGTATTCCTATCTTAAATTTTTTACTACCCTCCTCCCCCCCCAAAAAAACCCCAAGCAGTTTTCAGGAGTAATAGTTACTACCAGAAAAACAAGCCCAGGTGATTATTATTATTATTATTTTTGAGACAGAGTCTTGCTTTGTTGCTCAGGCTAGAGTGAGTGCCGTGGCGTCAGCCTAGCTCACAGCAACCTCAAACTCCTGGGCTCAAGCAATCCTTCTGCCTCAGCCTCCCGAGTAGCTGGGACTACAGGCATGTGCCACCATGCCCGGCTAATTTTTTCTATATATATTAGTTGGCCAATTAATTTCTTTCTATTTATGGTAGAGATGGGGTCTCGCTCTTGCTCAGGCTGGTTTCGAACTCCTGACCTCCAGCAATCCGCCCGTCTCAGCCTCCCAGAGTGCTAGGATTACAGGCGTGAGCCACCACGCCGGGCCTCAAGTGATTATTCATGGGAGCAGTCCAGGCCAGTTGACTTGGATAACAATACTTTCTTTACCAAAATCTGTTGCATTAGTACAAGTCACTGCTTCAGTTTTCAGAAAACTTGTACCTAGATTTTTTTAAAAATACAAAGACCCTCCATACTGTTTTCCATAATGCCTATACCAATTTGGATTCTCACCAATGATGTAAGAGCATTCACTTTTTTTACACCCTCACCAATACTTATCTCTAGAGTTTTTTTTAAAGGTTTTTTTTTAAATTTCAGAATATTATGGGGTATAGCCATCTTAACAGGTGTGAGGTGATATATCACTGTGGTTTTCATTAGCATTTCTCTGATGATTAGTTGTACTTAGTACCTTTTCATATACCTGCTGGCTATTTGTATGTCTTTTTTGGAAAAATGTCTATTCAGAGGTTTTTTTGCCTATTTTTAAATTAGATTCTTTGTTTTTTTTTGCTATTGAGAGGATGTATTTTGAATTAGAAATTTGGATTTAGCCAGGTTTTTTTGTTGTGTAATTTCTTTTTGATGAATTATGTATTACAAATGTCATGAAGCAAAATATCCAGGCATGATTAACTAATAATGATTCATGTAGTCAATTAGTTACAAATATATGAGTAACTTGAATGCAGATGGTCAGTAAACACTGAATTTTTAAATGCAAAGACTTAAGAGGGTCTATTAAGTCATGATTATTCAAATAATTGGTATCAGATAGTGTTACATAATACCAAATGGTTAGTATTATGTATCAATACATAATTATGGATACATAATACATGATTATTATGTACTGAGGTTTGCTTTGCAATACCATAAACCTAAGTACATTTACCCACATTAATTTGTTTTTACTGTCTTTGGATATTTTGGAAAAGTTTGTTTCAAGTTTGGGATTTGTATTTGAACCTGAAAGTTCTCTTGCTAACAATTCCACTGAAGAATTAATGTCTTATTTCAAAATACTCAATTCTCATTGTGCATTTTCTTTTTTTTTATTCTCTTTTTTTTTCTATCTTTTTCTTCGAGGTGATCATTGTGCATTTTCTTTTGCTTCTTGGTGAGAGTAAATGGATGGAGAATTTATCAGATAATCACACTGGTAATATTAGAAGCTTTGGGAGGGATATAAGAACAATTATGGGATAATGGACTTTTAAAAAATTTATAGCAGGAGGGTTCTTTTGGCAGTAGAAGAATTTTAACTAATATGAAAAGTATGTGGATTAAATTTGTTTTTCTCAGTTTTGGTGTGAAAGCCCCTTTTTCATGTGTCAGGGTGTGACATTCTAAAATAAAGTTGATTTTGGCAATTTCTCCCCTATTTTGATGTACATGGGGGTTGTGTGGCAGTTACACAGATACTCATATCTTTGACATAAAATTATTTGTCTCCCTCATGATGAAGCTATTTGCCTCAGGGAATACTTAAGTTGGAAACTTACAAGAGAAATATCTGGCTTTTTATAGCCTTGTTACAGGGCTTCCATCCAAGAACCACCTGGAACCACTGATTTACTTAAAAAACATTCTGTATTATTAGCTACAGTCCAAAGAAAAAGAAAAACAGAAAGATTCCCCAAAGGGGAAAATTCCAAAGACTCTAACTCAGACGAAAGGCTGCCATTATTTATTTACCAAAAAAGTTTGTTAAGCAAATGAATATGTCCAGAAGGCTAAACTTCAGGTACTTCTCAAATTTTAACGTGTACACGAATCACATGAGGATCTTCTTGTTAAAATGAAGAATCTCATTGCATTTTAACAAGGGTCTTTTGAACTTGATTTTGGGGTAGGATCAAAGACTTTTCCTAACAAGCTCACGGGTGATGCTGCTGCTGGTCCAGGGACCACACTTTGAGCAGCAAGGCCTTTGCACCATTTGTTTGTAAACAGTTACTTCCAAAAAACCAAGCCCTGGTGATTATTCACGGGAGCAGGCCAGGCCAATTGACGTGCATAGTAATACTTCCTTTACTAAAACCTATTGCATTAGTACAAGTCACTGCTTCAGTTTTCAGATCATTGAAAATTTCTGTGATTCAGATTAGTTTAAACGGACTGTGAAACTCCGTGCGTGAGGTCCTTCAGGCTTCCTGCCCCCCCCAACTATGTATTAGATTATTAAGTATGAAATGTCCGATTTCCTTAAGTACTAAGTTTGACAGTTGATATTTCTGACATTTCACTTTGACACTTTTTGGTGTTTTATTTTTATTGTGAAGGAACGTCCTCATTGTTTCAAATACACATTTTGGCTTGTGATTATCTTTCAAAAACAATTTTTTTTTGTTTTTTTTTTTTTTTTTGAGACAGAGTCTCACTCTGTTGCCCGGGCTAGAGTGCCATGGCATCAGCCTAGCTCACAGCAACCTCCAACTCCTGGGCTCAAGCAATCCTCCTGCCTCAGCCTCCCAAGTAGCTGGCTACAGGCATGCACCACCATACCTGGCTAATATTTTCTATTTTTAGTTGTCTGGGTAATTTCTTTCTATTTTTAGTAGAGATAGATAGGGTCTCGCTCTTGCTCAGGCTGGCCTCGAACTCCTGAGCTCAAGCAATCCTCCCACCTTGGCCTCCCAGAGTGCTAGGATTAGAGACATGAGCCACTGCGCCCAACACCAACCTTTTTTTTTTTTTGGAGCAATTTTTGTGAAATCATGGATAAGTCAAAAATTCGTGTTATTTTTCTATATGAGTTCCATTGTGAAACCAATACAGCACAGACAGTTTGAAATATAAACGAAGTGTTTGGGCAGGATGTGACTAATGAATGCACAGTACGTAGATGGTTTGAGAAGTTCTGTTCTGGTGATTTTAATCCTGAAGATGAGCCACGTGGATGACCTGAGACCAAGGTGGATAATGATGAGCTGAAGCTGTAGTGGAAGCGAATCCGTCTCAATCTACGCATGAATTAGCAGCAAGGTTTGACGTTAGTATTCCAACAATATTGGACCATTTGAAACAAATCAGCAAGGTGAAGAAGCTGGGTAGATGAGTTCCACATGAATTAAATGAGTGTCAGAAGAGAATCATCCACACCTATAATCCTAGCACTCTGGGAGGTTGAGTTGGGAGGATTGTTTGAACTCAGGAGTTCTAGACTAGCCTGAGCAAGAGTGAGACCCCATCTCTACTAAAAAATATAGAAAGAAATTAGCTGGACAACGAAAAAAAAATATATATATATTAGCCGGGCATGGTGGCGCATGCCTGTAGTCCCAGCTACTCGGGAGGCTGAGGCAGGAGAATCTCTTGAGTCCAGAAGTTTGAGGTTGCTGTGAGCTAGGCTGACGCCACGGCACTCACTCTAGCCTGGTCAACAAGCGAGAGTCTGTCTCAGGAAAAAAAAAAAAAAATGGCAAAACCGTACTACTTCTTGTTTGAGATATGATAAATTAAACCTTTAATTTGAAATCGGACATTTCAGATTTAATGACCTAAATTGTTTTCCTTTGAAAACTGGTACCTAGGTTTTTCTAACGGACTCCTGCCCACTTCATCTC